CAGAAGGAGCTGGGGGTGGGAGAAGGCATTCCCAGGCTAGGGGACGTCGTTGGTGAATGCTTGAAGTGAGAAATAGTGTTTTCCTGTCCTCTCCGGAAGGGGCTCCTCACTGGGTTTTGCCTTTGTCCTTTCAGGATTCTTTCCGAAAACGTTCCTTGAGGCGGTCGCCAGCCTTGGGCAGCACGATCCAGCCCCAGGAGGAAGACGGTCGGAAGGTCCTGGAGCTCTCCGCCTGCCCAGCCCCGCAGGAGAGCTCCCACACCAGCGCCTTGTCCAGGAGCCCCCTGGGCCAGCTGTGTGAACTGACCATAGACAAGCAGAAACCCACTCCTAGCAGCCCGCCCCACATGCCAAGCAAAGGGCTGCCCCCGAGGGAGAGGGGCAGGGTGAGAGACATTTTTGAGGCCAGCTCACCAGTGGACGGCGGCCCCGTGGTGGACAGGACGCCGTTGAAGCTCTACTTGCCTGGTGGGAATTCCAGGACAACCCAGGAGAGGCTGGAAAGAGCCTTCAAACGGCAGGGCACTCAGCCAATGCCCCTCAGGTGAGCATGCTGTGCCAGGGGGATGGCTTCTCAAGAGGAGCTGCCACCTCACACATGTGCAGCTTCACCAGCCATCACACACTCCCTGCCCCCCCTGTTCCCACCCCCACCCCCCCAGCTTGTGAAACAGGCCAGGTAGGCCTGGCCACGGCCACTCTGCTGAGGAGGCAGCTGAGCTCAGAGCACTTACGAGGGTGGTGGGGCTTCAAGAAGTTTGTGGAACAAGCCCGCTACCGTTCAGTTCCAGTTGTCCATGAACCTTTTGAAGCCTGCTCGCTCGTTCACCTTAGGCTCTGCTCACTTCTTCCCCACGCTTTAGCATGCGGTCCCCAAGCAGGCCTGCAGCCACCTGACCGGGCTGGTGTCGAGTAAGACCAGACTGCTGTGGTGGACAGGTGAGGGAGGTCATGGAGTCGAGAAGGGGATGAGTCCACTGGGCACTGTGTTAGCTGACCGCTCCGTCTCTTTCTAGCCCCGTTGGTCGTCTTTTTCTTTTTGGCCCTTCACCATAGGCTTTGAGGGGTTTGGCTATCAAACCACGTACATTCCTGAAATAAAATCTACTCAGTTGTTGGATGTGATTTGTTTATATTCTGCATAGGTTTGGGTGTATCATTTCGTGAAGAGCTTGGCAAATTTCCTCTCTTGCCACCACCGTGTCAGATTCTGGTGTCCGGATTTATGCTCAAAGCGTTCCCTCTTTTCCTGTCCTCTGGAATAGTTGTCTAACATTGGTGTCATGTCTTCTTAAATATCCGGAAACATATAGTGCAGAGGCCTCCCGGGAGGACTCACAGCTATGGATTCCGATTAAACCATGTTGTTGTTGTTTTTTTAAAATGAAAATGTTCTATTTTGTCCTGTGTCAGTTTTGGCAAGTGATATTTTTCCCCAAGGAATTTGACCATTCTGTCTACCTTTTCAACTTTGCATGTATCAATTGTATGATAACAGTATCCTCTTTTAGCTGTTTGAATGTCTGTTAAGATCTGCAGTGATAGCTCTGTCTTCATCCCTGACACTGGTAATCTGTGTTTTCTCACTCTCTGTTGACCCGGCTGATTAGGGGGTTTTCAAATGTATAATATTTTCAAAGTATCAACTTTTGGCTTTGTATGTTTACTTTCTATTTCCCTGAGTTCTCCTCTTCTTTTTATTATTTCCTTCATTTTACTTTCTTTGACCTTAATTTGCTGTGTGTTTTTTTATTCTAGTTTATTGGCATGGACCCTAAATAATTGATTTTTAGCTTTCTTCCTTTGTAATACATTTTAAGACTATACCTTTCTTTCCGAACAATGCTTTTTCTGCCTCTTAGCAGTGAATATATCATGTATTCATATCACTCAATTAAAATGTTTTCTAAGTCCCATTGTGATTTCTTCTTTGAATCTTGGATTGTTTAGATATGTACTGGATGGCTTAAAAACATTTGGGTACTTTTTTTGGTTTGTTTTTGATTTCTTGCTTGATTTCACCGTAATCATATATATTCTGTATAATTCAGTCCTCTGATATTTACTGAGGTGTGCTTTACGGTCCAGTATATATATTAAAATTTTATCTCTTATGGGCAGCATATATTTGTAATGTAATCCAGTCTGATGATTTTAAATTTTAGTTGGGACTAAATATTAGTCCCTTTATATTTTCTTTTTTGCTTGAAGAACCCTATTTAGTATGTGTTACAATAAACAGTTTTTGGTTGCCTGAAAATGCCTCTATTTCGCCTTCATTATTGATGGGGGCAAATGGGTGCTCACCATTTTGGTGGGTGTAGAATTCCAGGCTGGGCTGTATTCATTTATAGTCGGCTCCTCTCCATTGCCCTGCCTCCCATGAGGGTGACAAGCCGACTGACAGTTTTGTTGGTGACCCTTTTAGATAGAGTGTCTCATTGTCTTTTTTATTATCATTTTATTGGGGGCCCGTACAACTCTTATCACACTCCATCCATCCATCCATTGTGTCAAGCACATTCTCAAAACATTTTCTTTCTCCTTGAGCCCTTGGTATCAGCTCCTCATTTTCCCTACTCCTTCTCCACTCCCCCCTCCCTCGTGAACCCTTGATAATTTATAAATTATTATTGTTTTTTCATGTCGTACACTGTCCGATGTCTCCCTTCACCCACTTTTCTGTTGTCTGTCCCCCTGGGAGGGGGTTATAGGTAGATCATTGTGATCGGGTCCCCCTTTCTTCCCCACACCTTCCCTTTCCCCTCCTGGTATGGCTACTCTCAACATTGGTCCTGAAGGGATCATCCGCCCTGGATTCCCTGTGTTTCCAGTTCC